AGATCGGATGCAGTATAATCTTTGGGTACAGTGATTGGCATACGTTGGCCTTCTGGTACAACACTAGCTTCTTCACGAATTTCACGGAACACTTTTGAATCGACATATTTTTCGGGAAATGTTTCAACAAACAACGGTAAGTTCAGATCTTTTGTATCTGGACGATGGAGCAAAGCAACGGACAATGCATAGTTGAATAAAATGGGATTTACACGATCTCTGGCATAGACAGCCACAGTTTGTAAGTCATCGATGCTTCTCAAACCCATGAAAATATTAATGAGATGCGCAGCGATGCTTCGATGACGCGGAATGAACAACGAAAATTGCTCTTTTCGATCCAATGACATTGGAACCTTCAGATTTGGAATGGCAATATTTGCACGGACTGGAATACGTTCACCACTATTTTCACCGAAACGTTCTTGAATCTCTGGATTTCCCTTGTAACGATCGCTCAAAAGGCTACTTGGTACCTCAAATCGGGAATTGAGGTCGCCTTTTTCCATGAACACTGGTTCATTAGGACGGTCGAACAACAAAAGTAAGTTATTTTTGTTTGCCATGTCGATTCAGAGGAAAACTTTGAATTGTAGTTTGATTAAATTAAAAACAAAATTAACATAAATTTTGATACAATTTTGAAATTGTTAGTTCCAGCTAACACTTCTTTAAATCACTAGAGAAATGTGACTACGATTGTTGCTTGACAAACTCCGCTATTTATACAAAATCTTTTCACGCCTAAATACAGCTATAAATTGGGATCTAAACGAAAACCGCATATTCAAGATAATCTTGAATTCTTTTAACTAAATTTCTCACGGAAATTAATGGTTTACATTGATTCTCAAAATTGTGGCCAATTATACAATTTCCGTTTTCGAATAATTTGTCAATTTGTTATACATATATGAAGCCACAAGAAATTACATATCTCCAATATTTCCTATTTTGATATTTATTGTCAACTGTTGTCCAAATTTAATCATTCATTCTAGTTTCTAAATACTTTCTTATCAATCGTAAAATAATAATTTGACTGTCTAACTATCTGACATTCGGTGAGAAACGTTATGCGTGCGGTTTGAAAATAAACAAAAAAAATATAGAGGATGTGAGTCTTTGATATACTATAGTATTGCCGTGAGTGTTTCAAATAATAATTTTTTTGTTGTTGTTGTTTGTTTGTGCAATTTTCGACAACTTCTGATTTGTTTTTTAAAAGTTGACTATTACACATTTTTGCATTTCTTGCTTGTGAATTAAGATGCAAATTGACCAAATGTTTTTTTCACCATTTTTGTTGTTGTTTACAATTTAATTGCGTTTGTCAATTTAAGTTGATTTCTCGTTTCTTTAATGCTCAATTGCTTATCATCTTTATCACTCAATGTTTTCATTTTCTAAGTCATGCTTTATTTCAAGAGAGGGATTTAAAATGTATATACTCATTGATGCGATATTTTTTGGTTTTACTTTCAATTCATTTCACACAATGAGATCATTAACAGGTCCAGCATACACAGCGCTTGGACGTGTTGTAGATGCGTTAAATAGGCGCCCCTTTCTTATTGATATATCAATAGCTGTAGGTATCTATCTATCTATATCGAATGTATGCTAAAGCATAGACATCTCAAATATAACTCTATACACCAGTAGTGTGCGAGGAAAATTTTTCAGGGGCGGGGCTGATCTTTCGAAAACTTAAAATTTAGTTTTTTTTGGAAGTCACTTTTTGACGCGAAATTCCCTAGCAAATCGAAAGAATTTTCTGCGCGAAAAACCCCAGCAAATTGAAAGAATTCTCCTCAATTTTCTACATAAGGTAAAAAAGGTAACTTTTTGAATTGAAATCCCTAGCAAATTCGAATAATTTTCGCGATAAATTTTTCTCGACCAAATCACAGGACGCACACTACTGCTATACACTATGAGTTCAGTCCAGTCTGGATTTCTCAAGCTCAATCACCACGTCAACTAAAATATAAAGCAATGATC